CAGCCAGTTCAATAATATGAACTAGTTCTGCAATATTAATTAAATGTATGTATTACATGTTTTCTGAAGCATGTAGTAAACACACACGTGGAATAAGTAATTAGTATGTCGAATCCCATTGCCCCGAGCTATATACAGCTTCTTAGTTAATATTAATATCTAAGAGAATTTTGCAATGCAAACATAAATATGGCGTATGGCGTAGAAGAGGCTCATTGTCCAGCTGTACCTATTCAACATCGATTGTAAAATATAAAGAAATACCAGTTAGAAGTCCTCGAATCCATCGAGAGGCGTGCCAAGAGGCTCATCAATGACGATTCGCTTGTGGAAGCTCGGCTACAAAGCCTTGAACACAGGCGCAAAGTCGCAAGCCTTTCGGTCTTCTACCGGATACATGTCGGTGAGTGTGCGTGGGAATTGCACAAACTTTTTTCCTCTAGTCCATTTCACCACCGTACCACCAGAAGAACGGCGGGGCGCCACCCTTATATGGAGGACATTCCACCCATTCGCACGAAGCGTTTCGCGTCAAGCTTCCTCATGTGAACCGCTACGGAATGGAATTCCTTGCCAGAGGCTGTGTTTCCCGTCAAATATGACTTGGGTGTCTTCAAGTCCCGAATGAACAGGTTGCTCATAAGTAGGCGTGCTCCATCGTCGGCCACATCATCGCTTACCATCAGGCGAGATGGTGGTCAAACGTCGACCTATAAAGTATTTAAAAAAATATCTGACGATAAACCGGCCATATACCATTGCCATTCTTCATTTTTTTTAAATGTATTTCTGATGTATTTAATAAAAAACATTATAATTCTGACCAAACAATTATAATATAACAGTCCGTTATCTGTCAAATTCACTAAAATTACGTGCTATTTTTGGAAAACCTTTCTTCATAACTTCCCACACCGCATTTATTTATTATCTGACCTAAGTAAATTGTAATAAAGTTCATTATCCACTCCCACTTCAAACTCAGTGAGAGTTGGATTACACTATTACAGAATATTCAAATGTATATTTTTAAAAATAA